TGAGAGAGAGAGAGAGAGAGAGAGAGAGAGAGAGAGAGAAATGTTTTCTTCTTTGACTAAATTATTATTATGTGACCACCAAGAAAAAAAGAACAACGGTGAATTGAGGTATTTTGATGATATACCACTATACCTCGGATTTTTAATTTTTTTCTTCTTTTTTTAAAACATTCTTTTTGCGCAGCTGCTATTTGCTATATATTTTCATGCAAGGCAGATAACATAAACAATACAAAAGGGTCACACACGTTTTATTTCAACTCCACCGATCAACCATCTTTAATAGTAGTGGTTCTAATAAATGAACTACGAAAGAAAGCTCCGCCCACCCGAAAAAAAAAAATTAAAATGTGGCGGCGTGAGTTTTTTTTTCGTTCGTTTTTCCAAACATTATCTCTCAACAACATGCATGCATGCATGTTTGAAAGATGCATTGAGCATTAACAAAAAAAAAAAAAAAAAAAAAAACATGCATGCATCATTCGTCAACAAACAAACAAACAGCATATATTCACTTGTGCTCACATATATTTTGGTTTTTTTTCTTCTAATTTTCGTTGTTGTTGTTATTGTTGTCCTTCTTTGAAACTAATATAATGATATTTTCTCATTCACACATTTTTATTTATTGCAAAAAAAACCCAACCAAACCAAAAAGACAATGTGTGTGTGTGAAGTTAGTTTGAGTTAACTTTGAACTCCATAATAAACAACAACAACTATTGTTCTGATATCAGATATGAGTGAGGTCAAATTCTTTGAATGAATTTTTAAAGAATATCCTGATTGAACTTTTCGTTTGTTTTTGTTTGATTTTTTGATCAAGGTTATTAGATTGTGATTTTTGATTGATAATTTAAAAAAAACAAACAAAATCAAAATTGTCACCACCACCACCAACAACTATTTCGTTATTTTTAAATTTTGTGTTGATATTTCTTAATTTTTGATTTTTGAAATCAAAAAAACCACCTCCCCTCTTTGTCGAAAAACAAACGACTACGTCGTCTACGAGATTTATATCTATCAATCGCAATCCGCACACGCAACCAATCAACCTTTTCTTACCGACTTTTTTTTGCTTTAAATTGTTATTAATATGGACCTTATGGAATATCATCTTGATTGTCTAAAAAAGTTTTGATTTTTCCAGCAAAAAAAAACAGCAAAGCAACGACAAATCAACAATGGATATGTTAAGCGATGAAGGCGATCTTTACAGTGATGTAAGTTTTTTTGTTCATTGATTTTCTAGTTTTGAGTTTTTTTGCTTGAAAAAAATCGATTTTTTGATGACGAATTTTTTGGGTAGCATTTTTTCGTTATATTTACTACAGCTGTCTGATTGATTATACGAAAATACAGTTTTTTTTTGATTGAAAAATATCCTCCAGGCACATTTGATAAACTAAGTGATGTTTGTCAAATTTTTTTTCCCTATCAATCAAACAAGAATATCTTGTGTATGGCTGTCTAATGGAGACTCTGAAAATAGCCAAAAATAATTATAATAAGTCAATCAAAAAACCAAACCAAACTAATTATGTTTATGTTGTCGACTTTGTCGATTTTCATGTTTTTTTTAACTAATCATCATCCTCATTAATAAGAATAATAAGAATGTATTTTCTGGTTAATATATGTGTGTATTCAAGCGAAGTGAAAAATTGTTGAAAGAATCATTTGTTTTTTGCATTTCGGATAATAATAAACTTAAATGTGCTACACACACATGTCAAAAATGTTTTAGTTTTTTTTTGATTATTTCAAAATTATTATTGACATATGATTGGGGTGTATTTGGATGGATTTATTTTTTGTTTTGTTTGTTTTAAGGCAATGTGTTGTTGTTGTTTTTTCAATGATAAATCAATATGAATCAACGACATTCATAAGGGGGTGGGTGTTTTTTTCGTTTCGTTTTTTGTTGTTTGTAATTTCATATTACACAACAAACAATATCCTATGCAAATTTTTTAATATCCATCATCCAAAAGTTTGGTGTTTCAATGTAAAAAACGACAGCAGCAGCAGCCTGTATTTAACAAAATAATGATGCTACCACATATCATGCTATACATACGCCGCTGCTATAGTCAAAAAAAACAACCATGCGACAAAACCATGATTTTGTTGTTGTTGTTGTTATTATACAAATATACATTTGCCGTTAGAGGGCGATAGGTTTGAGGATTTTTTATTTGTTCGTCTTTTTTTTGAAGAAATTGTAGGCGCCCAAATAATAATAATGATGGTGAAGATGAAGGAAAGAGAAATGTTAAATGCGATCATTACGCCGCTTTATAATGTATTTTCGTATAAATATTACATTAGTTTGTTTTTTTTTGATTGGTTTGAAACATTGTAGCAGCCAAATTCTGTGTTAATTTTTTTTTTGTTTGGGATATATAGAGAGAAGAGAAAATGAGATCAAATAGAATTTCTATGAGAATCTTCTTTTTGGCTGGTTCTTTTGGAAAATACGCATGACATAAAATGAATAAAATTAGGAATGCGGCTCGGTTTTTAAAACATCCAAGGTGTTATCTACACTATCTATATAAATTGGTGTTCCAGCAAGGAAAAAAACATTTACATTGTAACCAAAAAATTCTTCATTTGCTATATAATCATGAAGTAATTTCAAGTAAAATTTTAAAATTTAAAATTTTATTTTCTTTGCTTTAGAATTTCCATCAATCCAATCCAAATAAACTAAATTTTAATTGAATTAACCTGTTGTTGTTGTTGTTGAATCTGAACAACAACAACAAAAATGATGTTATATATGGGGTTGTCCTTGTCTTTTTCATTGAGAGAGAGAGAGAGAACCTTCAACTTTTTCAAGAATTTTGATCATTTTTCTTCTAACAAATACATTCTGGCTATTATCATTTTTTCAGTTGATAAAATAAAAAAAACATCGATGATAATGATAATTTCAGATGATGATGATGATGATATGGTCACACAATAGCAGCAAAGGCGCCATTTTTTTTACCATACGATACATGCATTATTATTATTATTATTATTTGAGTGTATCCTGTTGATAATATCATCATCATCATCAACGATGACGACCATAGTTGATGATCATCATCATCATCATTGAATGTAACCTCGAACCATTAACAAATGAACAACAAAAAAAACCATTTCTAGCCAATTGATGATGATGGTCTGTTGTTGTTGATGATAAGGTCATTGAACGAAAAATTTTTCTTTTTCCTACAAACAAACACACTCCAAACATAGGAGGCTAATATAATGTTTGTGTTCAGGAGAGAGAGGATGGGATGAATATTTTGTGTCCAAAAGTTGTGTATAAGTGGACATTGGATCACGCCTGGCGTCATTCACAAAAAGGATAACCAAAACAACGGCAATGAACAATAATAAAGATTGAAAAAAGAAAACAGTGTAGGAAATAAAGTTTACTGTGAAAAATACAATAAAAAATAAACGAAAATGTAAAAATGAAATCAACTGAATCCAAAATGGCAAACAATAATAAAACATTTAACGAAAAGAGAGAGAGAGAGAATTGTTCTTTTTTATTATCACACATCATTAGCAGGTAAAGTAAAGTAGTGTTCCCGTTCGTTTGTTGTTGTTGTTTACCTGTTTACCTGTTGTGTTTATGTGTTTTGTTCCTGGCTGTGTAAACTTTTTTTCTGTTTTTGATTATTTAACATGAAAAAATCTTTTTATTTTTCTGTTTGACTTGAAATTTTTTCAACTTTTGTTTGCACAAGCAAACAAACAAAAGAGTTAACAGAATTTTTCTTTAAAAAATCATAACACTGATGATGATACCGGTATAAAATAACAGAAAAAAAACATTTTTTTTCTGCTCTGAAAATGATGGTGATGGATTGTTGTTGTTGTTGTTGTTATTTGACAGGCAGAGATTTTTTTTTGAACTTATCATATTTTTTTTCACTGAGATAAATTCAATATTTGGAGGGAAGCAGCAAATTACAGAAAGCTATCATCATCTCATCAATGTTTTTTCGTAATTTCGTTGCATTGAATGATGAATGATGATGAAAAAGGAAAAAGAAGAAAATTTGTATTTTTGACAACGACGACAATAACGAACAAAACAAAAAAACAGAGGATGGATATTGAAAAAAGGTCAAAATACTGTTGTTGTTTTTTTTTGCTGGGTTTTTTTTGTAGTTTATTGGTTGAAATATTGTTTGATTTTTGAAAATTTCTTTTAAAAAAATAATTATATAATGATGATGAAATTACTGAGAAAGAAAAACGAAAAAAAACTGGATTGAATCGTTGATGCTAAACTTGTTGACCTTGTAGCTATTTTTTTTTCTTGCTTAGTTTTATTTTAGGTGTGAAATATTGATTTTTGTTTGTTTGTTTGTTGAAATAAGCTATAAGAAACCTATCATTATAAAAATTGATTGATTGATTTAATAATTTTGGTTTTTTTTTCTGTTTTGTTCTGGTTTTGGATTTGTTATTAGGATGATGAATCACAATATATTCAAGGTGGATCAAATTTAGCTGGCGGTAGTGGTAGTGATTCTGGTGGACGTAACATTCCAAGCGCTGTAAGTGTATGGAACCTTTATATTTTTTTTTCTTTGGTTTACATTTTCTCATGAGACTGATATTTCCATTAGGCTGATCGACGTGCACATCATAATGCACTGGAACGTAAACGACGTGATCATATTAAAGATTCATTTAGTAGTCTAAGAGATTCGGTACCATCTTTACATGGTGAAAAGGTTTGTTTTCCCCCAAAAAATCAATCCGATTATCATTTTTTATTAATGTTTTTTCGTTGTTCTTTCTGTTCGAAATAGGCATCACGTGCACAAATATTGAAAAAAGCAGCCGAATATATACAATTTATGAGAAAAAAGAATACCAATATCGCTACGGATATTGAAGAGATTAAAAAACAGAATAAAATGCTTGAAGAACAAAGTTTGTTTGTTTGTTTTGTTTAAATTTTCTCAACATTCATTGCTAATAATGATTATTTCATTTTTTGATTTTTTTAGTTAATAAATTTGAAAAAAGAGGATCATTAACATTATCACCAACACCATCATCAGCATCAGCATCATCAACACCAACACAAACATTAATGTCACCAAATAATTCAAATAATACAAATTCAAATTCATTATATTCAACTGGCGTTCAATCATTATTAAGTATCAGTAGTAGTGGTATTGGTGGTGGTAATAATCGTACAATATCCGAATCATCATCATCAATAAATGGTCATCCAATATCACCAACATTAAGTTATGGTGATGATGATGATGATGATAATGATTTATCTGAAAATGAAAGTAATGAAAGTAATATTACAAATAATAGTGATTTAAATTTATCAATGAATGGTTTAATCACTGGTAATCAAAAACATTCATCATTGGATTCATCAACTTCATTATTATCATCATCAATTATTACACCAAATGTGGTCACTATTGCCAATACATCATCAGCAGCAAATATTGTTCATCAACGACAACAACAAATTGGTAGACAAATAACAACTACACCTACTATACAACCATTGACTACACAACAAGCTCAATTATTGATTAATGGAAATAATCAATCGGCTACTACTGGTACGATACGTTCAATAGTAAAAAATGGTTCAAATACCATTATTGTACAAAATCCTCAGATTAAATCAACAACAACATCATCATCATCGAATGGTGGTCCACATGTTATACATGTTTCATCGAATCAAAATAATACTGCTACAGCAACACCGATTATTATTTCAACTACATCTTTGGCCAATTCTGGATCCAGTGGTGGTGGTGGTTCAATTATTGGTAATGGAACTTATGCGGTGCTAAATACTAAAAATTCTTATGGTAATACTTCCGGTCAAACATTATCATTGGCATCATCAACTACGGCGGCGGCTACTCATCAAAATGGTGGTGGTGGTGGTACTGCATATCGTACAGTTGTTGTACAACCTGCTAATATTGGCCATACATTGACAGCCACACAACAGCAACAATCATCATTAAGTGGCGGTGGTACAACAACACCAAACATTCATATTGTATCAACAATTCCATCAACATATTCCGGTAATAGAATAGTTGGAGGAACAACAACTAATTCAACTGGAACAACAAAACGTTTTAAGATCTCAACAACAACAACAACAACGCCATCATCATCATCTGCTAATTCAATTATTGAAATTAATAATAATAATAATAAAAACAATACCTCATCATTATCAAATAATGTTCAATCTGGTAATAGCAACAGTGGTGGTGGTGGTGGTAATATTACATCTGTTTCATCTTAAAGTTTTGAAGAAAACAAAAATGGAATATCCAAGTATCCATCATTGGTCTTGTAAAAAATGAAAAGGAAAAATTCATATTATTAAAGTTTATTAATCTTTTTTTTTTAAATTCTTTAATGATAAACATCGACAACAAAAACAAAAATCAACAGAGCTTCATCGATTCATATTGTTGAAAAAAAACGTTGAAATCATACCTACACACACACACATGAAAACCATAATAATTTCATATTATTACAAATCGATTCATATTACATTTATAATCATGTCCAAATAACGTTATAGTAATTTAGTTTATATAAAAACATTCATTCATTCATTCATCCAATCAATCAAATATTTTACTCCATATAATTAATCAATGATTCTTTTATTCTTTTATTCTGATTCTGTTATTATCATTTTTTTTTTGCTTCTGATATTCTTTTTTTTTGTTTCACTTCATTCATGCATATGTATCATCATCTTTAACCTAACCTAACACGCGCCACACTTATATCCAAACACACACACACGCGATTGAAAAAAACAAAAATGTGAAAATACTGAAGATGAGAAAAAAAAACATTTTGTTGTGATATATATGTTTCCAATTCGATAATTTCATTGATTGATTGATTGATACCCAAAATAATACACTTCTTTTCTCCTTTTTTTTTGCTTGATGTCCAACAGAGAAAAAAATTCAAACATAAATTTCATTTCAATTTTCTTTTGTTTTTCTTGTTTTCTATTTTTTTTCCTCAAATTCAATTTTGTAAATAACAAATTCTTTAAACTTTTTGGAAAAATTCATTTCATTTACTTGTGTTGTTTTTTCTTTTTGTTTTTTTTTCAAAAAAAAAAAAAAAAAATTAAATTCAAATTTTTAAAAAAAATTTAAACGTGTTTTTGACACTCTTACCAAACCAAACAAACAATCGACAAATATTGATAAACAATTATCGATTCTAAAATTTTCGTTTTTCTTTTGTAAATATATTTTTTCGAATGAAAAAAAAACATTACTTCTCACATAACATAATCACTCACACACGAATCATCATCGAATGCATTATTTATTTTAACCAAAAAAATTGTTTGTTCCACATCCATATTTTGTTTGAAAATTTGTTTTTTTTTTCGTTTCGTTTTGTGGATATCATTTGAAAACACACAACAACAGCAACAACAACCCAACAACAATATCTTTGATGTAATTGAAAATTTCATTTTGTTTGATTGTTTTTCCTAATCACATGCATGAGATGACTGATTGAATTTGTAAACAACAACAACAACAAAATTCATTAGAATTTTTTTTTCTTGATTAAATTTGAAAATTAAAAAACTTATTATTATTATAAAACTTTTTCGTTTGGATATAAAATCTTTGTAACGAAATTTAGTTTATTATTTGTCGTCGTCGTCGTTGTCTAAACCATGTCTAAAAGTTTAAATGAAAATAATAATATGATGAAATCTAAAGTAAAAAAACGAACAGCAGATTTATCAACGTTAAGTACTAATTGTATTAATAATTGTAACAGTAATAATAATAACAACAATAATAATAATGGAAAAATGAAAGTAAAAACAACAACCGGAACAGCAACAGCAACAGGTTCATCGGCATCACCATCAGCATTAGGTTTTGAAGAAGATTTTATTATGTCAATAGATTCAAAACTTGGTTCAACAATATTACAACGACCAGATATAAAAGATTTAGATGTTGAAACATTTGGTCATTCAACAACATCATCAACAAATAAACGTAATGCATCAAGATTATTAAAATTAAAAGCAGCATGTCAAAAACCAACCGAATTGGATGTTTGTTTAGATGATAAAGGTAAAATGAAAAATGCCAATGGTCCAGGTGCAAGTGATTTAAATGATGATGAAAGAGGTAAAGGATTTGATTCAAAAAAACAATCAAAAGTAATGGATAAAAAATCCGGATCGATAAATAGTAAAAATGATGAAGTATTTGAAAGTTTACCTGAAGTAAATGTAAAACAGAAAAATAAATTAGATAATGGTAATAATGGTAATAAAAAATCTGAATCAGGATCAACATCAACATCACCAGCAATAAGTTCATGTGATAATGAAAATCATTGTACATTATTGGATGATTTAAAAAAACAAAAACCACATCATCATCATCATCATCATAAACATCATAATGATAAAGATAAACCACAAGTGGATACAAGATTAACACCATCGATTGCAAAATTTATTAATGTACCAAATGAATCAGAAATGTTGGATAAAAAACGATTAAATTCAGCAACCAAATCGGATAATAATAATGCTGATAATCAACAATCATCATCATCATCAGCATCATCAGCATTTTTATCAGATAAATCAAGTTGTGCACAAAATTGTGATTCATTACGTAAAGATTTAGGTATTCATAGTGCTGGTAGTAGTGCAAGTGGTGGTAGTAGTAATAGTACAAGAAAATCTGAATTATTTCGTAAAAAAGTTCCAACATCAATTTCATTGGTAAAAGAATTGGATAGAAAAAGATCATTAGCGGATAATAATCCAAGTATTATGATTGGTGATCCATTTGTTACTGGCCGATCAAATTTATCCGGTTTTGATACAAGAAAATTAAAAAATGATAAATTTTCATCCAGTAAAGTTATATTTATTAATACTGAAAATGTTGATGGTTCATCATTATCATCAGTTATGAATGCTGGTGGTGGTGGTGGTGGTGGTGGAGGTGGAGGTGGTAGTTGTAAAAAATTTTCACCAAAAACATCAATAATAAAAATAACACCACCAACAACACCACCGAATATAACAATTAACGTTAATAATGATACGGATATGAAAAAGAAATCGGAAAAAGAGGAAAAAATTACTGTCAATGGTGGTGGTGGTGGTGGTGGATTGAAGAAAAAATCTCAATCAATATCAACATCAACATCAATATCATCATGTACATCATCATCAGCAGCAATATCAAAATCATCATCACAATCTGGAAGACGACAACCAATAACAGAAAAACCAAATAGTATGGATAGTTTTCGAAAAAAAATAAAAGCAAAAATAAATGAAAAAGTACAAAAACCATCATCTCATCATCAAACAACAAAACAACAACAACCACATTCAAAAATTCCACCAAATATAGTTCCATCATTGTTATTAACATCAAATCCATCATCAAAATACGAAAAAATACGTTCAGCAAATTCATCAACAACCGCTATACAACATTCAACATTTATTTCGGCTTTATCAAAAGATTCGAATCCATCAGTTTCGGATAAATCATAGAAGTATTAGAAGAAAAAAAAACAATTTTATTTTTGAAAAAATTATTTTTAAAAAATAATTCCTAGATGGCAGTAAATGTATCAAAAAACTTTTTAAAAAAATTTCTTGTTTTCAAATGAAATCAATCAATCAAAAATCAAAAAAAAAAACTTTTTCAATGTCGATTTGGTGATGGGTATATACTGCTGATTGTTGTTGATCGTTGTTGTTTTTTTCATTTTGAGAAGATTAATCATTGATTTTTGTTTTTCCAGCCAAAAAATAAACAACAGCAAATGTTGAAGGTAAATAGAAAATCAATGATAATCACAAGATGCTGCTGTGATCGTCATGTAATCCAAGGCAATTTCATCGAAAAACAAAATAAACAAAACAAAATGATCAATGATTATGCAGAAAAAATATATATTCAGCAACGACGGCGAAAAATTTTCATTTAATCCAAATAATGATGATTGAAAAATCCAGGAAAAAAGAAAAGATCAACGAACTATTTGATGGCCAATGATCGTCGATCACACATACAAAATGATGTTTTTTGTTGTGTTCAGAACAACCAGAAAGTTTTTTTAAAATCTTTGGAAATTAGCAAATTCTAATTACGTTGAAATTTTTTTTTTCATTGTGAAATTCATTTGAAACAAACTTTTTGTCTTCTTTTTGTGCGTTTTCATGTTTTTTTTTCAAAAAAAAAAATGTATTTTTGATTGATTTATTGGTGCGAACATCATCAAAAACAACAAGTTCAAGTGCACTTCATAATCCTTTTATATCAACATCGACAACAACACTTTCTATTTATATATCCTGTATATATAGCAGTGATGAAAAAAAATTCAAAAACAAATCAACGCAACAGGTGTTTGAATTTACTCTTTTTTTTTCTCTCAATTTAATTCAATCAAAACACACACACAAAGCAGTACACATTCATTTTATTCATTGAATTTTGTTTGAAATTATCATTTGGAAATGAGATAATTTTTCGTTTTTCCCCTTTCCTTCCATAATGTTTTTTTTTTTGGTTTATCATCATCATCATTAATTTATTTGATTGATTGATTGATTGATTGATTGATTGATTGATTGTTTGATTGATCGATTGATTGGTTTATTTATTGTTATCCTTTCGAGATTGATCGGATTGATTTTTTCCGCTTGTTTAAAAAAATGGCATTTGTAAATGTTGTTTATAGCATCATCATCATCATCATCGATGACCCTTGTTTTTTTTCGGAACGATGATGATGATGATGATTTTTTTTTCTTTAATTTTTATGCCTAATCATCATTTTATTTTATTTTAGAAAACAAAAATGAATGATGTTTGATTGTCATTTACCAGGGAGATATATAGGATCGAAGATTAATTAAACCGATCACCCAGTTTTGTTTTTGGATAAACTATATCGAAATGAAGAAAAAAATGATGATGTTTTTTTTTTATTTTTCAACGAAATTCATCTCCATCATTATAATGATCGATAATATGATAATTAATCATCGGTTATAATTTAGTTATAATCATCATCATTAATAATATGATTATTATTTAGACTCGAAATATAGATAAACCACATGGTCATATTATAGATATACAGACATCAATCAATCAATCAAACAGAAAGACGATAAACATTTTTTTACGTTTATCATAATATTATTACAAACAACGTCAACAACAACAACAACAAATAAAATGATAATCTGGAACAATTTCAGTTCAGTCATTTTTAGTTTAGTTTAGTTCAGTGGAGTTTTTCTGGTTAAACTGACTTTAAATAACGTTGAAACCAGACAAAAACCTGTGAAAAAAAAGGCGAAGCAATTTATTGCTGATAACAACCAGCAAACCATATTTTTATTTTTATTATTTACTTCCAGTGCAACATCCATATATACATCTATCCTGTCTGTTTTGTTTTGTTTTGTTTTCTCAGAAATTAAATTAATGTACGATCGATGATGATGATGATAAACATTTAGCTTTTTTTTTTGTTTTGTTGTTGTTGTTGTGGATATTGTACCTATTCTTTATCAATCATCATTGAAAACATTGACAGAGCAAGCAGCAGCAATTATATGACACAGATAATCGTTTATCATCATCATGTACCATATTGAAATATCCTTCCAATTAACAACAATGTTTTGGTATCTATTTGATTTAAAAAAAACAGAAAATTTAAACTTTGGCCAGACAACATTTACATTATTATTTGATATTTGAATTGGGTATTATGTATGTATGGGCGATTATTGATCCTTGAATCATAAGCAATCAAGGAAGTCAACAACAAATTTTTTTTAGAGAGTTTTTGTTTAATTTGATTTGATTCGACCACCGGAAAAAGGAAAACAAATCAAATTATCAAATTATCAAATCATAAGTCTAGGTTATCAAATTTAATTTGATTTTGCAAAAGGTTACATAAAAAAATTATCAACAGGGGGAAACCAACCAACAAAAAGATACAAACAATAAGTCCAATGTTTTTTATGGATGTACGTTTTGGCTATGGCTTTTTAGTACAGTTTGAACCTAAAGCCAGAAACCTAAAAAAAATGATAACATCATACCAACCATAAATGACATTTTGAGAAAAAAAAATGGGTTATTCAATTAGTATTTTATTTTTTTTTTTTTGGTTATCATCATTCAAAAAAAAGAAAAGATTTTTTGTTTTTGTTAATCTTTTGTAACGAGATGTAGTTTGTCTGACAACTAAATTGTCATCATCATTGGTTTCTATTTAATAGATTGATGTTTTTCATATTGATGTGTGTATATGTGACCATCGCAAAATGAAAAAAATGTCGACGACTGTTTTCTGGGTTAATTAAACAAAACATTTGATATGTGTTTGTCTTGGTAAATGATTTGTTTCTTTGTTTGTTTGCAAATTTTTTTGTTTCTGTTAATTATTTTCTTATCTGATTAAGTAAAATAAGAATCAAAAGTAGAAAAATGAGTTTTAAAAAAAAATTTATAATCATAATCATCGACTACTATACTACTATGAGGTTAGGTTCATCACTATGACTATGATTTATAGTTCAGTGAGGTTAGGTTTATGACTATGGCTGTGATTCATAGTTCAGTGAGGTTAGGTTGATGACTATGACTATGACTATGATTCATAGTTCAGTGAGGTTAGGTTGATGACTTTGACTATTTTTCTTCAAAAAAAAATTGACATATTTTGTTTTGTTTTCCTCTCTTCCTCTTTTCAAAATATTTATGATGAAAGATTCTTTGAAAGAAGAAATCTTCAATGTTCATTCACACACACACTGGCTTTTGGAAATGTGAAAATTGCACATTCCTGACACACAAACAAACAAAAACGATACAGGCAATAAACAAACAAACAATTTTAAAATGTCCTTTTTGTTTCTCCTGAAAACTGAAAATTATTTAAAGAATAATATCAACAACAAGTCAACGTGACTTTTATCATTTACACCACCACCATCATCACAATCACATCTCTAAATACGACCGAATTAATCTTCTTATTTTCAACGAAAAAATCCTGAATAACAACAAACGATGGAAGAAAATGACATTACACTGATTCTTGATCATACATCTATCATATTAATTTATGGTAAAAACAAAAAAATGGAAAAACACTTGAAAAATTATAGCGATTTTGACTTGAACATTGAGTGAGAGAGAAAAATGATTTCAATGAAATCTCTTTTTTTTCCCAAATATGATGATTATTATTATGCTCTTGATGTTTATCCAATTTGAATATTATCGATTTGTTGGATCTTTTGAAATTTAACTTAATTAATTTAAAAATAATGAAAGTCGATATTTGTTGAAAAATTACATAATTTAAACAAACAAACAAAATCAAATCAAAAATCAAAACGCAAGATTGAATAATGAGAGTATATCCCAAGCCAAAATGAATGAATGATGACTAATAAGATAATTTCATTCATTTCATTTCTCTTCCTTGAATTTAAAGAGAGAGCTAAGACAGCTCTAATCTAATTATAATTATAATGTGCTTAATTATTAATGACGCCTCGCTCATTTACTCTCTTCTTTGTTCATTCATTCATTCATTCATTAATGTTAATGATCGCTATTTAATAAGGCGTGCAAGATTTTTGAAAAACAAAAAACGAAAAATTCTGCCTAAAAATTCTGTTGAAAATTAAACGAACAAATAGCATCATCATTTTTCGATATTGTTCGTTCATTGCTACTCGTATTCAGTTTATCCATGTTTTCATTCAGGAATCAATCAATCAATTGTATTGATTGATTGATTTTATCGATGTTTTTTTTGTGTTTTTGTTTTGTTTTGATGTTTGTAAACAATCAGACAATCAAATCAGAGACATAACCAACCAATCAAACCAACCGACAACAATAACAGTAAGTTATTTTGAGACTTTAATTCCATATGATGATGATGATATCGATCAGAAGAAAAAAACACAAGTACTGTACATGTTCTTTTCTGTTTCTTTTTCTTTCAACAAAAAAATTAATCGGAAGAAGCAAATTTTATCAATGATGATAATGATGGTGGCGGTGTAAATGATTTAAATAAATCAAAACTACTTATCTGAAATTTTCTAAAATTGGATTTTGACCTTTAACCAGCAGAAAAAAAAGGTCACAAGACCTTTGAACTTCCCTCTCTCTCTTTCTCTTTTTTTGAGTAAATTAATGACGCCTTCTAAAATCGTTAGCATCGTTATTTGAAAAATACTGCCGCAACCGCCTAAACATAATCTGATATATGATCTGATCATCATCATCATCATCATTTGATGATTGACGAAAAGCATTTTAATTGGGCGTCCATTCATTAAAATCCCAAAAAAATCAAAAATCAAGATTATCATATTGTCAAAATCAATAAATAATGATGATGATGAAATGTATCATTCAAGCATGCACAGAAATCAATATTTTTATTTTTCAGGCAAAAGATTTTTTTTTTGTTTGACATTAATTCATTATGACAAATATGTATAAAATGTCATAAATCTTCATGTTTGTTTGTTTTATGGCGGGTAATAATATTCGTTTTTTTTGCGTTGAAATCCTTGAAAAGTGTTTTCCGAATAAATTAAATGATTTTTATTGAATGAATTTGCATAGTACACGAATGAATAATCGTATTTTCTTCTTTTAAACGTCAAAACAAAAGTATGTATCACATGAATAGTGTATTTCACCGTTCATTTCATTTCATTCACAAAATACGCATCACATTTGTTTGTTTGTTTGTTTTGATTTGATTGAAACAAAAAAAACATAAACCTTGATCCATTAAAATCAGTTTATTTTTCTTTCAATGTTTTTTTGTTTGTAAAATGAAATAATTTTCATATAAATATCTAGCAGTAACACTACAGAATCTAGCAGAATAGGAAGCATCTTATACAGAATTTTCTTTTCAATTCTTTTTTTTCATAATCAAATGATTCAGCAGATTGAGCATGAAATGTGAATATGATGAATGATTGTTGACATTTTTTGTCGTTGTTCCTGTATTTATTTCTTTGTAAAAATATGCCGGCTTTGCTTTTTTTTACAGTGGATGCCAAAAAAACCAGAAAACAAAAACAAATGGAAACTGTAATCAGTCAATCAACCGCTTAAAAATCTTGAATAATTTTTTATAACGTTGATCAATGTTGACTGTTTATGTTTTGATAATGATGATGGTTAAAAAATTTGTGGAAGTCAACGTCACTTTCTTTGTCTTTGTCGTTCAACCAAATGATTATCTTTAAATTAACCAAACTGGATAAACGGAACCCGAAATGAAATATACTAACTCTATCTATCTATGCATGCTTTTTTTCGATATCAGATCTGAATGTTATTGAAAAAATATTTTGTTTCCCAAATTAATTAAACCGACAATAAATAATAATGATCTAGATTTATCAAATCTGGTTCAACTGGCGAATGAGTGAGTGAGAGAGAAAAAAAAAGTTTACAAATTCAAAATCTCATTTGCAATTGTAAATACAAAAATGATAGATCGAAAAGAGAGAAACAGAGAAAAGAGATTTGCAGTCTTGTGACAAATCTTCACATATCTCACACACACAGAGATGTTGTTTGCATAAGTAAATTAAGTAACATCGTTTTTTCTAAAAGAAAAAGAAAAAGATATCCTAATTGACTATTGCAATGGGAAATAAATATTCATTTAGTCGGTCTTTTGGTTGATAAAGTGATTAATGAATGCCAAGATGAAAAAACCGATGATCCACCCTATTTAAAAACAAACTTCGAACGGTGTTTAAGAGATTGATGTGTGTGTGTGTGTGGTGTTTGCGAAGAATGAATGAATGATGAATATCATTTTTCATTCATTTCCCCACATGGTTTGTTACTTTTTCTCAAGCAAAATTATTACCGATATTTATCAAATAAAGTTAAGTTAAGAACTGAAAATGATCATGAGGATAAACAAAAAAATTCACATAAGCAAAACAAAACAAAGCGAAAAAACTGTTTTTGGCCATTGATCTAATGATGATGATTTCTTCGTAATATTTTTTCATTCGTCATTTTTTTTCGAATACATAGTGGTGGTTAGGATATTCAATATATTGTCATTTTCAAATTACATTACATGTTTACAGTATGTTTTTGTTTATCAAAACCAAAAACCAATAACATTAACACCATATAGATATTACATGGTACATTTATGTCAATGACCTGTTTCAAATAATAATGATAATGATAACAACAAAATGGAGATTATAAAAGTAAATTAAATAAGGGGGGAAATTTGATCTCATTTTGTGAGATTTTAATTATTTTTTGATTATTTCAAATGAAAATATTAAAAGATTTTTGTCCAATCAATCGATTCATCGATGATAATAAAATCTTCCTTGTTTGATTAGTTTCATTCTTCTTTCCAAAATGATAAAGAAATGTAAGGGAGAGAATTTTTTTTCAATCCGAGGTTTTTAACTGATAACCAGAAAATTGACAAATTTTGTAACCAGAAATGTACACTTGGATTTTCCTCTTGTCATCGAAAAAAAACCAGAAAAAATTAAGAAATTTTTTTGTCAAAATAAATTCATCGAACCAAAAGAAACAAAAATCTTATCATCATCATCATATTAGATTTGTGCTGTGGAAGTGTTTATTATTATTGATGACATTAATTCCAGGCAAACAAGGAGTCATGCCATCGGCCTCTCTCTATCTCTATCTCTGTTTCTTTTTTCACCAAACAACATGCAATATTTTCATCATCAATAAAGTTTTGAACTTAATGTTGTTTATATTTTTCTTTTTGGATGATGATTTTTGAACAAAATTAGACATACCAACCACACACATTAAAAGTAGGTGGTAACCTTTTTTCATTTGTTTGTTGTTTTGTATAGATGTTTGTTATTCAAACACAATGTGATTGAAAACATCATCAATGAAAGATTTGAAATGGGTGTTGAAAAAATGGGCTGGAACTATTCAAAAAAAATTGCATTGTTCAAAACGTTGATTTCTGGCTTTTTCTGATTTTCCGCTTAAAAAATACAAATTTTAAATTTTTTAAAATTTTTAAATTTTTGTAAAATTCAACATTCCCAATATAATGATGGATATTACATAATTGATACGGCTAAAGTGTTAAATAATTTGAATGATTGATTGATTCGTCGATTATCACATATATTTGGAAGAGGAGGGGGAGGATTTTGGGCTCCTTGTGCCTATTTCTTTTTCGACTGTTTATATCTGTTTGGATAAGTTTGTATCCTGAACAGCAAACATCAACTAACGATAATGATGATGATGATGATATGCTGAATATATCTCTGTATATTTATTATCCAAAAAGCAGTTGATATTTTCGCTAAATATCATTTACAAACTCTGATCATCATCCATAGACACACACACACATGGTGTTGATACACATTTTTCTAAATAGTTTTTTTTTCTGTTTCCCTTGACAAGTGTCTCTAGCAGCAGCAAAAAGAAATATATGAAGAGCCAGTTTTTTTCTGATGATGTCGCCGAAATGTGGATTGTATCTCTCTCTCCCTTAATCTGTTTTTTTTGTTTGTGCAAGTTTATTTAATGTAAAAGTAAAGTATTTTCGGTTAAAACTGACACTGTATCATGATGACGATGATCAGGATAATAGCAGCAACAGCAACAGATATTTTTTTCAAAAATAAAATCAAGAAATAGATTTTAGTTTGCCGCTGCTGCAGAAAATCAGTTTATTAATGAAAAATGTTTTATTACAATAATAATTATAATAATGAGGATATTAAAGTTTTTCTGTTATTTCTGTTAATTAATTTATTGATGAAATTTTTATTTAAAAATTCTTTTATGAAACTAATATATGTGTGTGTGTAATAATCATCTTGTAATAATTCTCAGGTGAGTTGAAATAGTTTTTTTTGTTGTTGTAACATTTTTTATAAAAAAAGAATCCAGAAAAAAATAGTTATTGTTACTCATCATTCCTTGATAATATTCATTATTATCACCGATTTTTTTGTAAGTAATTTATTCATCATAAGGAACTAATAATAAACTATTGTTGATAACGACCAACTTGCGACAATCACACTTGATAATCACCTTCTGTTATCATCAAAAAAAAACAGAAGCATTTGTGATTTGATAATATCATTTTCTTGTGTTTCACAAGGTATCAAGTCAGATTGAAAAAACAAAAAAACAAAAAAACGCGCGCGTTTGTAACCCCACACTAACATCATGAAATTTTTTTCATTTTTCTGTTTAGGCAATGCTGTCTTGATCATCATCCTAAATGTGCAATCAATTTTCAATTATTGATCGATCGATTTTTTTGTTTAAATTTGGTTCTATTTTGCTGTGATTGATTAATTGATCAAATCAAATTTGATCAATTAAAAAACAAATTTTTTTCACTTATTTTGTTTTTTGTTTATTATGGGAAAATTAAAACGTAAAGATATTCATCATCAACAACAACAACAACAAGTTACAAACAATTATCATCAGCATCATTATCATTATAATAATAATAATCGATTCGCTTACAATAATAATCATCAATCATCACCATCATCAATATCATCATTATCATCATTGTCACCGACAAGTTCATCAAGTGTATCACCATCATCTCGTACATCATCACCATTATCATTATCATCAACAATATTAATAAAACAACAATCATTACCTTGGAAATCTCCAACATCATCATCATCATCAACGTTATTTACAATTTCAGATGAAGATTCAGGTATAATTGATAGTTATAGTAGTAGTAATAGTAGTAGTAGTAGTTGTAATGGTGGTTCAACATCAACATCATCATCCGCATCATCATCATTATCATCGTTATCGGATAATTCTTCTTCTTCTTCTTGTTTGGATTTAAATTTACAAATAAATTCAATGAAAAAAACTAATAATTTATTACAAACAAATATTCCTGTAACAAAAGTTGCAAGATTTAATTTAATAAATAGAGATTCTACTACCAACAACGTTGCCGCATCATCTAGATTAAATCATCATCCATCTGGTGGTGATGGTGGTGGTGGTGGTTATATCATGACAAATATAAATGGCCATGTTAAAAATATTGCAAACAACAACAACAACGCTGTTAACACTAACGCAACACGATTATCATCATCGTCATCGTCGTCAGTGGTAACTAATAATAATAATATTGGTGTTAATCATTTGCAACATCTTCATCATCATCAACAACATCAACATCAACATCAACATCATAATCATTCACATAATCAACAACAACAACATCATCATAACCACCTGTTGCATCAACAACAACAACAACAACAACAAACAGTAAATAAAGCTCAACCATTTTCACGAAGAACTTTAAATTATTTACCACCACCGCCTACAAATTTTGGAACAACAACATCATCAACATCATCATTACATAATCAACAGCAAATTAATAATAATAATGTTTCATCAAATTCATCATCATCAACGTTATTATCGTCTGGTTGTGGAATAACATCGAATCTATTAGTTGATAACGGTAGTAGCAGTAATTCATCATCAATATCGATGTCACAAACAACAACGACAACAACAAATCAACAACAACAACAACCAAATAGTGTTTCAAATTCGTTGAATAATAATAATATGATGATTATGTCATCCCCATCATCATCATCAAGTTCGTCGATTCGTAATGGTGGTAACCAAAAATCTAATAGCCATTCGAATCATAATCATTCAACAACAACAACAGCGTTAGGAATGAATCCACATCAATATAATCAAAATAGTATAATTAATAATCGTTTTGCACCATGTGCATATCCATCACGTTCAAAAAATAATCGTTATGAATTGAAAATCTTGTCGCAACCTGAAGAACAGCATAGGTAAGTTCAGTTCAGGTGTTTGATTGATTTATTGATTTGATTGAATAATATTTTTCCGTGTGTAGAGCAAGATATCTGACTGAAGGTAGTCGTGGTGCTATAAAAGATAAATCTGGACATGGTTATCCAATTGTAAAACTTTTCGGTTATACCCGACAACCAATTAAAATACAATGTTTTATTGGACATGATAAACATATTGGTGTACCGCATTTATTTTATCAGGCATCGAAAATTGCCGGGAAGAATTCAACAAATTGTATGTTAAAAAAAATTGATGGTACAAGTATAATTACAATGGAAGCATCACCAGCTAATAATATGGAAATAAATGTTGATTGTATCGGTATATTGAAAGAACGTAATGTTGATGTTGAACAAAAATTGAATAAATTTCAAAAAAATATCAATGAGAATGGTAATGGTAATAGCAATATGACCACCACCATCAATAATGATCTAGATTCAGTGGCAAATATTAAACGTTCAACACGTTGTCGTTTAGTATTTCGTTGTGAAATACCTGAAACAATGGAAATTTTACAAACAGTTAGCACACCTATATTATGGTATTTATTTCTTTTTTATTTTAACCCTTTGTTCCAATCATAGTTGCTAATAATGTTTTTTATATTGCTTTCAATCATCGACCAATCAATCGATTAATCGATCAGTACACAACCATTAGGTACACCTGAAATTAATAAAAAATCAATGACCATCTGTAATCATTTGGATGGTGGTGAAGAATTATTTATAATTGGTAAAAATTTTCTAAAAGATGCTAAAGTTATATTTCGTAATGATAAATGGATGAAAATTGTTGAACCAAATCGTGAATATCTTAAATCGGTAAAAACATTTTTCAAAACTAAACTTTTATCATCCATTTTTCAATCAAAAATCAATCAAATTGACGTAGTTGAAACCGAAAAAAACCCATAAAATATTTCCATTGAGAAACCTTTGACCTATTGGCCAAAAAAAAACAAACAGATATTTCCTGTCACTATTTTCTGAATTTTGCTTTCAATAATTTTTTTTTTTTGATTTTTCTTTTTTTTCACAGACACATTTGATTTGTAAAATTCCACCATATGATTTACCAACGACAACAAAATTATCTCAACAAATACAGACACGATCATCATCCTCATCAGCGGCAACAACAGCCGATCAAAAATTAATCGAAGTTTTTCTAATGGTCAAAAGTGGTGGAAAATGTTCAGATTCACATAGATTTTATTATCGTTTGCCAGATAATCGAATCAATAATTCAAGTTCAAATTTACAACAACAAACATCAAACACTGGTAGTATGTTTTATCAGAAAAATTTTTTCAGCATAAAAAAAAATTTCAATGTTGACCTAACCTAACCTCATTGAACTTTTTTAGCCTTGAATTTTTTTCTCTCTGTGTGTTTAAACAAAAAAATTCATTTTTCATTTTTCTTTTTCTCTCCGAATTTTTCCATTATGACGCAAATAACCTTTTTCACCTCTCTCTCGATGTCTGATGGCAAACGATAGATAACATGATGATGATGAGAAATCGACGACGAATGACGGAATCATCAACATCAACATCGGCGACAACGATAAACAATTCTAGAGCAGCGGAATTACTTGATTTTATTGGAAATCAAATAAAATTGGAAACAGATTTACAATCACCAAATTTATCTGTCACGATGGTAAATGATCAACAACAACAACAACAACAGCCGATGATAATGACCAATTTAGCACAGCAACAACAACAGCAATCTTGTGGTCAAGCGGTTGATCAGATTATAATTCCTTCCGTTGAACAAACAATAACAACGCCGCCGCCAACAGCAACAACAACAATGATCACTAATAATGATCAATTAAATAATAATAGTAAAGAATTGAATGATAATAATGATTTGAATGAATTAAGCTCATCCGAAAAATCTATTCCTAATTTAGTTTGTAATGAAAACAATAACAACAATTTATTAACAACAGCTACAAATTTACCTTTAGCTACAAACTTACCTTCGAACAACTTAGCTTTAAATTCATCGATTATTGTTCCTGTTGAAAATAACCAAACGTTACAATCAACAATAAATCATCAGACCAATGAAAACACTTTAATTATGGATATGAATCTATCTCATCATAATCATCATCATAATCCTCATACTGGTCATCGTACTGGACATCATCCACATCCACATCATCATTTGGAATTTATTGATCATCATTTACAATCCACTACTACCTCTTTATCGTCATCGACGGCTACTCAACAATCAACAGCAGCAGCAGCAACAGTCGTAGACTCTAATGAAACAAACCAATCGATTCAGCAACAGCAAATAACCAATGGAACAAACATTCAACAACAACAGCAACATAATTTATATTCAATGTTATCATCAACAACACCATCAGCATCATCAACATCATCAACACAATCAGCATCATCATCACCGACAATTATTGATCCAACAGCAACAGCATCATCAACAACAATAATGTCATTTATATCAAATCAAAATATTATGGCGCCTTGTATAGAACAAGTATCATTAACACCATCACCATCATCAATATCATCATCATCATCATCATCATCAGCGAATACATTATCATCAACATCATCATCACCATCTTGCAGTGGTGGTGGTGGTAGTATATCATCAAATATTATCAAACAAGAAGAATTATTAGATACATTATTATTAAGAGGATGTAATCCTTTGAATGTAAATCAACAATCAACAAATCAACAAACAGTACAAATTGATCAACAACAACAATGTACTAGTTCTGTATCGTCAATGGGAGCAAATTTGATATCGGATCAACAACAACAACAATTACAATATTTGAATGGTACACATTTTGGCGCCCAATTGCTAGGCACCAATAATACCAATGCTACAGTTCAACAATCGGAATCATTTTTACAGCCGGATTTTAATAATCAATCAAATGTTTCTATGCAAATTGTTACGGGCAATCAATCATCATCATCATCATCATTTGTTTCATCAATCGATCATCCAATGATAAATATTAAAAATGAAAATGATTCAAATCTTTCACCACCACAACAACAACAACAGCAAACAAATTCTTTAGTAACCAATAATAACCAAATTACGAATAATACTACTATCGATACAACGTCATTATTACCTGAAATAAGTTTACAAGATTTAAATAAACAATTGAATGCAATTGTTACACAACAATCTGTCGCCGTTGTTGGTGGTTGTCCTGTACCAACACAGCAACCAACAACATCTTCATCGATTATCGAACCAGCTACACAATCAAATATAGCTACTAATATAACAATGGCTATGGAAGGTGTTTTGGATGGAACTTATTCATCAACATCACCATCATCAACATCAACATCGACAACAAATAATTTTTTAGTTTCGAATACAAATGATAATACGAATACAAATTCACCATTAATCGATCAAATAATGAATACATTGAATCAAACAGTAACCACTACAAATGTTCAAAGTAATCCAAATCAATCAATAGATTCTTTTATGCAAACAATACCAATATCATCGACTAATCAAGATCCATTAGCGATAACATTAGCCTGTCAATCGGGAAATCAACAGCCATCAACAATACCATGTCCAATGATGACAAATGATGATTGTCCACCACCACCACCATTGACCACCATACATCATCAAACACAATCAGCAATGACAATTACCGAACCAAATATTGTTGTAACAACAACATCCTGTATAAATCCTGAAACATTAAACATACTCGAACAACAACAGGTTGCAAATCAGATGCTAAACAACAACAACAACAACATTATAGCTGTTAATGCTATCGGTAATCAATTACAAAATATAGCCATGTCAGTTGATCCTACTCCAACATTATCATCAAATTCAACGATTATTAATACCAATCAAATATCATCACCGCCATTATCATCATCGACAACAAAAGTTGATATGCTAATAGGTTCGGGTAATTTAGCATCTTATTGTCATCAAGATTTGACATCGACAACATCAACAACAAATAATTTATCACCACAACAGCAACAATTGAATAATCCTGAATCAGTAAATCAACTACAGCAACAACAACAAGTTTTCGGAATGACTATAATGTCCAATTCTACTGAAACAGCAAACAAATCGAATGAATTAATATTACCAACGCCAACATCGATGATAACGAATCAAAATCAACCACCATTGATGGATCATTCATTGTCAAACATTTGTACATCTACAATAATAAGCAATAATAATAATGATACAGTATTATCGGCAACAACATCATCATCATCAACAACAACAACAACGACAAACGAACAAAATGATTTAATGACCAGTGCACAATCAAATATATGTCCAATGTCAAAAATGAGCGATGCTGAATTGATTGTATTTATTGATCCAAAAACATTTGATTGATAGCCAAATCAAAAGTTTATTACTTTTATCATAAAAGAATATCATACACGAAAATCTATCTTTTTTTGTTTCATTTCATGAGCTTAAAAAAAAAATCTTGTCAAATAACGAAACTAAAAGTCACACTCAATCACTGATTTACCTTATTTACAGATTTGACTATTCTTTTTCTATTAATTATCATTATTTAAACTTTGATTTTTAATTTTTAATGCATGTATAAATGAAATGAATCAAAAAAAACCTTTTTTTATAAAAAAAGGGGTTATTATCTGTATAATCTTTACATTTATATTTTGTTAATAAAAACAAATTTATTTACAAACAAAAAAAAAATTTCAAAGTTCATCACGTAAATGAACAGAATTTGGTCGATGAAATGAAAAAAAATGTGTAGTATGAAAAAAATGTAAACGATATAAACGATATCTAGTGATGAATGCACTGAATGATGAAATACAATTACCAATAAATGAATTGGAATGTGATAAAAGATATAAATCGATAAGAAAATGTGGTGATGGTTTTTTATATTCACTGAATGTTCCATCAATTGTATTCAATGTTAGTGTTGGTGTTATCAAAGTTAATGTTGATGATGATGATGAAAAATGTTTGGCTAATGTTTGATTTAAATCTAACCACATTGATTCATTATTTAGATCGGTTGCTATGTAAATATGTTGGATTGGTTGTTTTTCATTTCGTTTAACTTCATCCTGATTGTTATATGATTGTATGGATGATTTTATACCGTCGATTATTTGTTCAAATGAAGGATAACAAAGATCAAATGTTATACGATTATTTAGCCAACGATGTTGTTTATCTTTATCACCTAAACATTGTTGAGAACTAAAAAGTTGTTTTAAATCAGGATTTGAATGTATAAGTTCACATGCTCGTATCTATATTTGTTTTGAATAAAAAAATTTTAGAGATAAAATCGTTGAATGTCAATGAACGTATTTACCCAATCAATTCCATGACGTAAATGAACGGCTAAATATGGTTTTTGTCCAAATCCTCTGTCCATACGATATTTGTTTGCTTTTTCCATAATATTTTTGGTAAAATAAATATATTTTGATAATTTTACGGCTGCACTATTTGTTGGAAATGATGATGGTGCACCTGAAAATAATAATAATCATTACCGATAATCGATTTTAAGCGAAAAAACAAAAAAACTTACCAACTAAAGCTAATACAGTAACATTACGAAATTTTTGTCTCCAATCATTTGCATAATTATAATCAGTATGTAATGGTTTATAATAAAGTGAACCAAGTGGAAATTCTTGAACACCTAAATGATGCCAAAATTCTTTAAAAGGACTTCCTTCAAATGGATTACAGCCTTCTTTTTTATTGTTGTTGTTGGTGGAAAAATGTCTAGAATCATAACAAGTAATACTACGATTTTCATGTTTCCAAATTAATGGTGATAATTTTTTCAAAAAATCATTCATTGTCATCACACGATGATATTCATTGATATGGTCGATTTCGAAAATATTTTCAAACGGTTGAAATGTTACTTTATAATCAACATATTCAATAAATGGTGGTAAAATTAATGTTCGATCAATTGATTTGGCAAATTGTAATGTTCCTAGGAATTGTTCAGCTTGATTACCGAATCGCCCTGAATAGAATGAATCAATCAAAATGGAAAAATGATCAGATTTTCTGAAAACAAATATTCAACATACCCATACAAGGACAATAAAGCAAGTAGCCATTTGGATCTATTGAAATATCGGAATCGTCAATTGAATTGACAGTCGAAAATATCAAAAAATGAAAAAATATTGTAAAGAATAACTTAGAGAATGACATCACAGAATTAAATTTAGTTTAAAATTTAAAAATCTTAGAAAAATCTTTTAAATTTCAAAAAAAAAGAATTATTCTTTGGTCACATGCATACGATCGATTATTAAACATTGAGCCGCAATCGATTGTCAATATATTTTACACAAGTGAATGATTCGCACATCACTTATTATGCTCGATCAGCTGTTTCATTGATTTCACAATGAAAAAAATTTGATTTTACATTTTGATCGTTATATAATCCGAAAAAAATGTGGCATGAAGCAAGAAAACATGAGAAAAAAATTCGTGGTATTATGATCGATCATCGACGCCGAGCAGAAAAACGTAGAGAATTTTATGAAAGTATACGTCTTGATCCAGCATCATATCTTCAGATACATGGCCAACAAATGAAAATACATATTGATCCGGTAATATCACAAGCAGCCGAATCATCATTAGTACCATGGATGGGTGATGATAATAATATGATTGATCGTTTTGATGTTCGTGCTAATTTAGATTGTCTACCGTCAACATCAACAACTTCATCGGATTTGGAAACAACAAACAATGACAACAACAATGATAATAATGGTGGTGGATTACTTACATCTGATCAAGAATGTCAACTAAATTATGAACGTTATCGTAATCTTGTTCAAAATGATTTTGTTGAAAATAATGAACAAAAAGTTTTACAGAAAATATTTTTAAAAGAAAAATGGGGACAACAACACCACCAACAACAACAACAGACAAACAATTTGAAAACAAAGAATGAATTGAAGAAAAAATTGGCAGAGAAAAAGAATGCAATTGGTTATAATTATGATGATAATAATAATGGTGATGGTGGTAAACCATCTGGAAATGATGATGATGGCGGAGGGACATCAAGCGAATCAGTAGATGATTCGGATGATGATGAAGAAGAATTTGAAGATCTTGACACTATCGTTTTTGTTGATCAATTGGATCAAGATTTGTGTGAACGTTTGAATATTGTTGCCAAAAAATATGGTATAAAATATGGTGAATTTATGAAATTTATGCAAGCTGATAAATCAGAATCGGATCGTTTACGTATTGCCAAAGAAATTGAAAATGAAAAATCAATGTTTGTAGGGAGAAAATCTCGTCGTGAACGAAAAGTTTTAATTCAACAACGTCTATTAATATTACGTTCAATCAATACGGATGATTGTGAAGTTGATCATTTTGCTGTTGTCAACCAAGAAGAAGGAAAGCGACATAAGAAATCAGATTCATCATCAGCTGAAAACGACGATGACGATGATGATGATGATTCTAAAAGTGAAATTGAAGAAGGAAAAATTGAATTTATAACATCATTTGGTAATGAAGAAGAGGAAATTCCATCGACAAAACCAGTGAATAAAAAGAAATTGAAAAAATTGCCAAAAGAATTGAATAAAAAGAAATCTTCTTCTGCTTCGGAAAAATCTAAACAAAATTCATCAACAAACAACTCATTGATCTATGGTCCATCATTGCCGGCCATTGATGATAATGTAGCAGTCGGTTCATCGAAAATTGATTCAAATATTCATTTTAATTCTAGTTCGAATAATATTAAACAAAATCGTCGTTGTTTTCGTAATGCGAATGATGATGATGATGATGAAAAATTTTCGAACGTTAGACGTCGACGATCACCTTCATACAGTCCATTTCGTAGTCGTCGTCGTCGTTCACCAAGTGTACGACGAAGATATAATTCGAAAAGTGATGATAATTCTTCCAGTGATGGCAGTATAGATCGTCATCGACGAAGATCTAGTCGTCGACTTTCGCCACCATCAAGATATCGACGGTCACGTTCGAATTCGGTGCATAGAAAATATCGACGAAGTAGATCACCACCAAGACGTAAAAATCATACTTCATCATCATATCGAAAACGAAGTAGATCAAAAAGTCGAAGCCCGACTAATATTCGACGATCTGATCGATCTTCGAGACGTGAAAAAGAAAAAACTCGAAAATCTTCTAGTCAAAGTCCCATTCTTCCTATTCGAACTAAACAAGATGCCAAATCGAATGATGATAATCAGAAATTATTAAAATTATTAGAAAAAATTGAATCGAATGCAAAAAAATGTCGAAATTCTCGAGATAGAAATATTGATGATGAAAAAACATCGAATAAAATTGATAAAAATTCAATCAATGAAACTAACAAATCAACAAAAACAATCGATTTGTTGGAAAAAGAAAAATCACCACCAATTAAACGATATTATCGTCATGATTTAGTTGATTCTCAAGATGATCATAGTGATGATGGTAATGATGAAGATCGAAACATTGATTCTGACGAGAAAACAAAGTAGGTGATTTTTTGGTCATCAAAATTCCCTTGAATAATTCTTTTCTCTTGAAAAAACAATAGATCAAATTTGCCTGTAGTTTCTGTCAACGAATCATCAACAAAACCAACTTCAACTTCTTCATCATCATCAATGGCTAATGTCAGTATTGAAAATTTTTTTGGCAGGTCTTTTCAATTATTACCTCTATATATATTTGGTTCATTTCTAATTAATTAATTGTGTGACACAACTGAAACACAGGGTTTATTCATTTTGTTTGATGAATAATTTTTTGAATTTTTGTTTGTTTACTAATAATTTTCAAATGTAATTTAACAGTTGATGACATGTTCAGGTTCGAAATCCAATCAAACATCCAATTCATCCAATTCGTCATTGATAATAACACCACAAGAACGTTTAAAACGTTTGATGAAAGCTCAATTGGATAAACAATGTATGTTTAACATTCAAACAAATTAGGACAAAATTATGATAGTTTTTTTTTGTTTTGGAAATCCATCAGATAAATTGGATAAAAAAGCAGAAAATGATCGTTTGGAACGTAGAAAATTAGAACAACGTGAACGTCGTGAAGAATTTGATAAATTATCTAGGTTTGTTTGTTTCAGCAACATTCGTTTTCTTGTTAAATTTGTTTTTTTCAAATTCCAGATCGAAAAGACGATCATCTCGTAGTCGATCATCAAATTCTTCACGTTCATCATCCATTAGTTCAAATTCGAATTCTGATTCAGATTCTTCATCATCATCATCATATGAAAAAAGAAAAAGGTATCATTCAAGATCTAGGTCCCGATCACGATCAAAAACTCGACATCGAACTAAAGAACATTATCGACAACAACATCGAAGACATCGATCTCGTTCAATTACACCGGATTATGGTCGCCATGGTCACCATCATCATCATTCATCATCAACAGCAACAACAACATCCAGGTATCGATCATCAAGACGATAAAAGTCTTGACTAAAACAAAACAAAACAAACAAAAATTTTATTTAAATTAAACAAGGAAAAAATTTGAAAAAATTCCATTTCGAAAATATTTTCTTCATGGTTATGTTAACCTGATTAGGTTGAAATAGCCTCAAATGAAATGCGCATGTATGATTCGCGTAAAAAGAAAAAATTTTTTTGCTTAGCAAACATCATCATATTGCATTGTTGAATCACACACACATTATAAATAGTGATTTTGGCTGATGAAAGAAAAAACACAAGTGAAAAACAACAATTAAAATATTTTTTCTTTTTTTTGACAATCCGTATACCGATATTTGAACAATTTTGTTTAATGATAAATAAATATTTCATCTGATCGAAAAAAAGTAAACGTCATTCAATTTGTCAATTCATCATCAGTTTTTTCTCCTGTTTTTGATCTTTGTAAATATATACGCCTCATTTGATTGTTTTTGAACAAGATTTTTTTTGATTCAATTGGAACTTGTTGATTTTACCGACCTTTCGAGAATTTCAAAAATGAAATTTTTATCCACTACTCAATATTTATTATTAATTTTATCATCATCATGTTTGATGATAACTACAGTGTCGACTATTGAATCGACTGATTCTCAACAACCAAATCCAACCATTTCAAAATCGAATCAAAATAAATTGAAACAACCTAGTTCGAAAACATCATTGATTGTAATCAATGAAGATGATTGGGATCAAATGCTTCAAGGTGAATGGATGGTTGAATTGTAAGTCGATTTTTTTTTGTTTTTAATTTCAAAATAATTTTTTTTTCTCATTCGAATATTTCAGTCACGCTCCTTGGTGTCCGGCTTGTCGAGCTTTGCAACCTGAATGGAAATCATTTTCATTTTGGGGTTCAGATCTTGGGTTTGTATTTTTTTCGTTTGTTTGTTTAAAACAAAATTGATTGATTGAATTTTTTCTAGTATTAAAGTTGGTGCCGTAGATGTAACGGCTAATCCTGGTTTATCCGGTCGTTTTATGGTTACTGCTTTGCCTTCAATTTATCAGTAAGCAAAATAGTCATAATCATCAAATCGATTTTTTCAAAATCAAAATTTTCTTTCAATTATTTAGCGTCAAAGATGGTATATTTCGTCAATATAAAGGAACACGTGATGTGAATACATTTGTTAGTTTTATTGAAGAGAAAAAATGGCAATCAATTGAACCGATTAGTTCATGGAAATCACCAAATTCAATCCCGTAAGATTCATTTTATATTAATTTTTCATCTCACTCATTGTTTGTTTTTTGGATACAAATATAGAATGTCGATTGTATCGAATTTTTTCAAAATATCTATGACACTTCGAGCACTACATAATAGTCTAGTCGAAGATTATGGCATTCCATATTGGGGATCATATATTTTATTTGCATTCGTAACGATTTTGTTCGGTGCAATGCTTGGATTAGTAAGAATAATTTTTTTGGAAAAAAAGCTAAATTTGTTTAATTTTCAATTTTTTAATATAGCTTATTGTTGGCGCCATTGACATTATCTATCCTGCCAAACCTAGTGATGATATTTTGCGACAACCATCAACACAGGGTGATCTTATTGATGATACTGAAGATAATATGCAAAACAAACGTAATAAGCATCATAATGATGACGATGATGATGATGATACCGAAAAAGATCGAACCGATGAAGATGATTATGATGATGAAGAAGAAGAAGAAGAAGTAGAATATAGTGATGATGATGGACCACAAATCGAAGAAGTTATCGAGGATAAATCGGTTGAAAGTTCACCCGAACAAAAACCACGTCAACGTAAAGCTAGACGAGATTGATTTTTTGAAGATTTAAAGATGGCGGGAACAAGAAACAAACATGATATTCTCAAATCCAGAAATTTATTGCAAATTATAATTACAATATGATGTTTAGATTAAAAAAAACACACGCACATTGATAACTCTTTTTTAAAAAAATATATTTTTTTTGGTTTTGTTTCATTTTTTATTAACGCAATTATGGTTTGACGAGGGGGTAATCACAATCAGGTATGATTGTCTTCCATCCAAACAAACAAACAACAAAAAAAACGAAACAAAACTCACCAAACCAAAAAAAAGATGAAGAAAATTTGACATATAGCCACAGCATCAGCAAAAAAGAAAATGTCTATAATATACACACACACAGCTCGTTCACCTAATTTTAACATTTTTTTTTTTAATTTTTCATTTTTTTTGGATTTAACATTTGAATTTTTTTTTCTTACCGCAAAAAAAATTCATATTTGTAATACTTGATTCATCACTCTCTCTCTCTCTCTCTCTCTCTCGCTTTCTCTTTATACATACATGATTGTCATTGAATTTGAATAATAAAAAATATTTTTTAAAAAGTGAAAATTTGATTCAATAATGGCGATTCGAATGTTTCAATTTCGAATGTTTTTTTTTTGGCATTCGAATTGGAAAAAAAACGTTCCAAAAAAGGAAAAATTTTCATATTTTTTTGCGCAAGCGTATTACCTTTTCGAATGAATCGCATCTCGCATAAACACAATGAACTCAGCTGCAACATTTTATTTTGAAGATTTTTGATTTTTTTTTCTTTTGAAACGAAAATTATAATTTGTTTGGGTTAATCACCCCGATTAGAATGTAATATTTATTATTGTAATTTTATTTTGTAATTCAAAAAAATAAAAATTTTTAACCCTATCGACAAAAAAAAACAAAATAATAATGATGATTATGAATCCGAAGAATGATTCAAAAAATGATTCGAATACGGTTTGTTTTTTTTAAATAAATAAACTTGTCTTTTGTTTTTAATTGAAAATTTTTCCCTTACTAAATAGAATCTTCTTAGTGATGATGGTGATAAAATTGAAAATAAAATTGATAAATTATTTGAAATTCATTCGGAAAATGAATCAAATGATTTGAATGATAATGAATTTAGTCATTCGGCGACACCGACACCACCTTTGCCTCCAACATCAACTTCCAATGATCAGCTAATGTCACAATCAAGTCAACAACAACTGCAACAACAACATTCCAATAATGATATTACTACAGAAATTGTTCGAGCAACACAATATGGAAATTTAGAATTATGTCAAAAATTAATCGATTCAGGACGTTATGATGTTAATCAACGTGATCGTGAAAATGTTACACTTCTTCATTGGGCTTCAATCAATAATCGACTTGAATTGGTTAATTATTTTATCTCGAAAGGTGCCATAGTGGATGCTATTGGTGGTGATCTTCAATCTACAGCTCTTCATTGGGCAACCAGACAAGGACATCTACCAATGATAGTACTATTAATGAAATATGGTTCCGATCCATCATTATTAGACGGTGATGGTTATAATGCCCTGCATTTAGCAGCTCAATTTGGTCATACATCAATTGTTGCCTATTTTATTGCCAAAGGACAAGATATTGATGCTCCCGATACAAATGGAATGACACCATTAATGTGGTCTTCATTTCGTAATAATTCGTATGTTTTTTTAGTTAAAACTTAAATTTTGAGAAAATTCTGAATGTTCTTTTTGTTTCCGTATAATAGGATCGACCCTACTCAACTTTTGATAACGTTAGGAGCTAATCTATCATTGACTGATCGAAATCGTAATACAGCATTACATCGTGCTGTATTAGCACGAAATCCAATTGCTGTATCATTATTGCTCAAACATGGCGCCAATCCTAATCTAAAAAATATTGCCGGCGATACACCGATTGAAATGTCTGTCAAATTTCATGCCAAATTTATTCATAGTCTGTTTGTTGAACATCAAAAACAAAACGAATCTAAACAACCATTAGCAAGAATAAAAATTGCACCAAACACTGAAATTCGTATACCAAAATGTTGTGATCCACAATTTCGTTATTATGTAATGGCATTAACACCATTCATTTATTATTACCTGTTTGGAAAACTATGTGAAAGTGATCTAATGTTATCGAGTAAAGCACTAATATTAATAATACTAGTCGGTTTTCTTTATCTATTGATACGATATATGTTCGATGTAAAACAATTGAATGTTTTAGCCATTTCATTATATTTATCAACAAAAATCTGGCTTTACATAACATTTTTTCAATATTTTCTTTTCGGTAAGTGACATTTATTTTATTTTATTTGATTAACACTGATTTACTTGAATTTCTTTGATAGTTTTATCACCGATTGAATTGTTCATATTCATTTTATGTTCGACGGGTCTATTTTATAGTTTTTATAGATGTTATCAAAATGATCCTGGCTATATTTCCAATAGTCGCGAAGAACAGGTTAAGGTAAGTTTTAATGGATTTTTCATTTGAAATTCTTTCTAAAAATTGCATTTTTTAGACCATAATCGAATTAGGTGAACATGAAGGTTTTGATTCAGCATGGTTTTGTTCAACATGTCTGATACGTAAACCAACACGTTCGAAACATTGTTCATTATGTAATCGTTGTGTAGCACGTTTTGATCATCATTGTCCATGGATTGGAAATTGTGTTGGTTATCGTAATCATAAATATTTTATCTGGTATCTTATTACATTAGCAATGACATTATTCTGTTATTTAGTTGCTACCGTACATTGTAAGTGAATTTCATTCATTCATTTTGGGAGATTTTTCTAATTTTTTGAAATTTGTCAATTGTAGATTGGGATTTTCTTGATGACATACATCAAGATGATATCAATGAAACTAATGAAGAAATTATATCAGCCACCAATAGAAAACATCAAACATTTATGAATGTTTGGTCAAATGTTGTTACATATAATGGATGGATTACATGGTCACTAGTCAATGCTTTGATTCATGTTATTTGGGTTGTTTGCCTTTTAATTTTTCAATTATATCAGGTAAATTTTTTGGATTCGAGCCAGTTTTTTCAATCTTAATTTTGTTTTAATTTTAGATAACTTGCCTTGCAATGACCACTAATGAACGTATCAATGCCGACCGTTATCGATATTTTAAACAAAATAAACGTTCGGGAAATATTCATAATCCATACAAGTAAGTAAAAATTATCATGTTATTCGACTCAAATTTATCTTAATTTATATTTCAATAGCTATGGTTTTATTCGAAATTTTATTGAATTCTGTGAATGTCGTCGTTTAAATATGTGTTTATATAAATCACCCGATCTACATGATTGGCGTTATGTATTTGAAAATTTTGAAACACTTGGCCGTTATGATTCAGATGATTCGGATAATGATAATTCATCACATGATGAAGTTAATGTTTGACCAATTTTTATACTCGATTCATATATATGTAAAACTTGCACAACAAAAAAAATTATATATTCATCAAAGCACCCTATCAACATTCAGTAACTTGTAATTTGATTTGAATTTGAATTTTTTGTGTATTTTTTTCCAATGATATTATTTTGTTCATTATTAAAAAAATAAAAAAAAAGACTTTCAAACACACAGATATAACATATGTTCCACCACCAATGCAATCCATCATAATATTAATCTCTTTTTTTCATTTTCTTGATAATTTCCGATCTTGGTTCTTTTTCTTGCTTGGTCTTAATCTCAGGGTATTCATTTCAACCCTTTTTCCTCTCGGTTTTCCATTATTATTATTTCATTGGATTTTGGATTTTCAAGAAAAAAATTGTTCATTTTTTCCCTTCCTTGGTGTAATTCCATAAGAACATATGTAAGTCAATATGAATGAATGTGGTAAATGGATGAATATAGCCATTTGATTTACCATTTGGGATAATTATTCGATGAATATTATTCATATTCAAAACCTATAGGATTCATTTTTGCATTAACCCAGCCAAAGCCACCACCAAATATCTTTAATCTTTTTCCTTTTTCTTCATCATGTTGATACATTTAAGACCGACAAACTCATTTTTTTGGGCCAAAGAAGTTTGTCAAAAGAAATGACCAATCAAAATAATCTCTTTTTTTTCTTTCTTTTCGTTTGGTGGTGTGTGTGTACACCACAGCCACCCTTTCATCTTAACTGTATCGGAACAACAACAAAAAAAAGATGAAAGATTGTCAAAATGAAAAAAATGACACATGTATTTGGCACACTTTTTTTTGTTTCCACTTCTGATCTACATCATCATCATCATCATTTTTCGGAGGTTCGATGTAATTTTTTTCTTTTCTCAATCAAATCTTTCGGAAAAACCCTTTTTTTGAAGAAAAAAGATCAAGACATCTATTGTCATCTGTATGTCAAAGGTCGTCGGTCGGCATGTGTTAAACGATATAGTAGTAGTGTATCCAAAGAAAAAGAAGAAAAAACCACAATAACTCTTTTACAATTGAAAAAATATTTCACGCGTATTTTTGTTCCAATGGCTTCTTCTTTTGAAAAAAGGCCTGATCCTGAAACTTTTTTTTTATCTGACAATGTGTAACAAAACAAAACAAACTGGAGGGTCAAAGGTGAACGTGTTGTGTGTCATTGTCATTGTCAATCGATCGATTAAGATGTTCGAAATGTATTTTTTTTGGATGAATTTTGTATCAATATTGATGATTATTTGTCGCTCATCGTCATCATCAATTTGTATCCTGTCCTCAATTTTGATTTGACCGAAATTTTGTTGTTGTTTGAATCTTGACCAATGATCCATACCACAGAAAAAGTCTTCTGTCCTTCAAAATGATCAACAAACAAACAAACATACCATTCACATGTCAATCTAATGATGAAATTGGAAAATTATCAAGAAAAGTAGTGAAGAAAAAGAAAATCGATATCATATTACGATTTTTTTGTTGTTGGTTGGTTTCTTTGGAAAAAGCTTTTTTCTCTTTTCTTGTTTTGAATAATTGATTTTTGTTTTTCCATAGAAAAAGATCATCATCATCATCATATAATCATTATCAAATTTTTTTTCTCAAAAAAAAGTTCTGGTTACATGTTTTTTTCCATGAAAAAAATCCGCATAATCGGTTACAAAATGATCTAAAACATATAACCGAAAAACAGAAATTCCTTGGAAGTCATGTCATTTTTTTTCTTTCATTTTTTCTTTCCAATGAATTGAAAATAACCCAAAAAACAGCATTTTGGATTCATTTTTTTTCGAAACTATAATATTCTTCCACTATTATCAGAGAAATTAGAGTTTTTATATCCAAAACACCAATTAGATTATCATCAAACCAAACATAACTAAACACAACTGACCAACTGAATACAATTGAATTGAAATAAACGTAGTTTGAATGAAATCAACACTTTGGACGGTGATGAGGATGAAATGAACTCGTCTAGTTTAATTTTTTTTCTCGTAAAAACAAACAAACAAATAATATGATAAGTATATTGTGATAATTGACAATGTCAAATGACGTTTTCATCATCATCATCATTGATGATCAGCATCCAATTGTATTACCAACAGCATTACTATAAGCTGGTAATAATTAGATGATAATCAAACGATCGACGATAGTCACAGATGTGATGCGATGAACTTGAACTTCAATTCTGTTTTTCTTTTCGAATCCAAAAACAGAATCCTATGTGGAAAAAAAAAGTTTTATTATTATTTGCTGAATGAAAAGAATATAAATAGTAAAAAAGGGTTAAGATAATTTAACAAATGAAATGAAAATCAGTCATTGAGAATGTGAGTGTATAGTGTGTTTGTTTTGGTGTTCAATCAAATATTAACCGTATCAAAGTGAGAAAAAATGTTCATAATGTAAAAGTAGAAAAAAGGCCATAAAATGAATGCAAAATCTAGATAAAATCGGCAAAATAATCTTCAACCGATAATTCATCTTGCATTTGTTTCAATTTAGATAAACGTTTCGATTCAATTTCATCTTCAAATGGTGCCAACATTAATTTCGGATGATAATGTTCAATATAATAATCACTAAATTCGGATGGAAAATTTTGTTCACGATATTCATGGTGATTCAATGGATAAGCATTTTCAATTTCATCAATACTGGATAACATTGGTGTTGCTGTTGTTGATTTTAACTGTTTTGAAATCTTCATACTTGAACATTGTTGTTGTTGTTGATGAATTCCATTAGATTTTTTATCATTTTGTAATTTTTTCAACGATTGAAATGGTGTATTGGAAAGATTACCCAATTTACGACGATTACTAGCCGGTGTATTAGCGCTGATTAATGATATTCCTTTTTTACGTTGTTCAACTGGAATCAAATTACTCATAGCCGATGGTTTGATCGATGGTCCAGATTGAAAAGCAGATTGTAGATCATTTTCATTCATACGAATTTGACGATCAATTTCCATGATGAATACGTTTGCAGATGATCAGAATACTTGTAGAAAATGCAATCAAAACTGAGAAAAATTATCAATCTAAACAAACTAGAAATTAAGAAACAGAGAAAATCTTTATTTTAAAAAAAATTTCGAATTATCAATAAATTACCAGCAGAAAAACAATTGGCTTTTTATAAAGAAAACAAAACAATTAATATGAAACGATTCAAGTTTAATTTACCAAACAAACAAACAAACAAACAGAAAAAAAATCAGTTAAAAACACGATGACAAAACTCAAACAAACAAACAATATTGGCGGTTGGAAAATGTGCGCTTGTTTTGTTGCATAGTGCGCAAGCGTAAATCGAACGAAAAAAAATTTAAATCCCAAAATTCGAATTTTTCTGATTCGAAATGAGTTTGCGCATTACCAAACGAAAACAAAAAAAAAATTATCCAAACACGCAACCTTGCTCGTCGCGTTAACCTATGATCATCAGGTCAAACTTTTTTTTTGTCAATTTGATTTGATTCTTATGAAACATTTGAAAATCAAATTATTATTATTCAGGTGTTTTGTTTGTTCGTGTGAAAACACAGGTTTTTTTTTCTTGTTCCAGAAATCAGCTAGGTAACAAAGAAAAGCGAAACATTATTTTTATTATTGGATTTATGGAGCAAACAACAAAATATGGATTTTGTTGTTGTTGTTGTTGTTGACATTTGACATTTGTCATCATCAAAGAAACATATTGTTACAAGGAAAAGAATCAAGTTTTTTTTTCTTTTTTGACAATATTTTGACAATCGAACAAATGTTGTCAATCTTTATTTGGAAAAGAAAATCAAAGGGTTATGCATATTTTCTTCGAGAAAAAAAATTTGTCCAATTTTTTTTTGTTTGGACCAAAAATATTTGGACAAGGGGGATCAATCAAGATTTCGATTTTGGATCAAAAATCAAAAATCGGTTCCAAGAAAAACAACAACAGATGTGTTTGGTTTCACACATCAAATCGCAAAATTATTCATTATTATTGATGATGATAACTGAATATTGGTCAACTCAAATTCAAATCATACAATCATATCATGACCGATGATTATGTGTGTGATAGTGGTAATAATTATATGTTTATGATGAGGATGATGATGTGATGATGATTGTTGTTGTTGTTGTTGTTGATAACACAGAAATCAAAAATCAAATCGAAAAAACAAAACAAAGCAAAATTCAATTGATAACGCATGCAATGACAGAAGGAAAAAAAACGATTCAACGATGACACAAAACGCAATTTGCGTGATCATCATCATCCAAAAAATGAAATATTTGTCATTTGTCTGTCATCAATACATAATATTTATTATTCAATTTTTTCGAAATACATAAATCACACTTGAGCAACAACGAAGAAAAAAATCGAAATCAAATTTTTCAAAAACAAAATTTCGTTTTTCCATTTTTCATCCAAAATTTCTTTACCGGTGTTGATTGCAGAAGCAAAATAACTAATTTAATTTTTGTTTTTCTGTTCTGTTCTGTTTATTTGATTTCTTTACGAATATCAAACATTCTTCGGTAAATAATAATCATCCAAAGATATTGAATTAAAATACAGAAAATTATAACCACCAACAAAAAAAATAAAAATATCGGGTAAGTTTACTCACTGTACTTTATTAGTTTTTTTCCAGTTGATAATGATGATGATGATTTTTTTTTCGTATTCTTCCAAGAATTGATCATTTTGTTCATATAAGCATTTTCTACCAAATACCCAATATACAAATTACAGCCAAATTGTCAAGGACATTTTTATTGCCTGCCTGGTAAAATAACGGTTATTTTCTTTCCTTCAAACTCTCTTTTTTCTTACCTGAACTTACCTATACCTTTAAAATGAGTAGTGCTTGATTCGATTACCTTTGATGATGATGATGATTACTTATAGTGAAAAATAGCTTTTTTTCTCTTCACGAAAGTCTTCATTATCAAGGTGGTACAAATAGTGCACCATCACAGTTTGTCGATCTGAAATTGAAATCTCAATTTTCGCCAAAAAAGCTATAATAATAAACCAAACTAAAAAACGTTTAAAATTTACTTTTTTCCGTTCTCTTAATTATAACTGTAAAAACTCGAATGATATTTCCGGTATTTATTATCTCCTTTAGGCACTTTTTTCCCGAGAAAAAAAAACAAAATCTAAATTTAGAAAGTTTTGCTTGCTTTTTAACGACAACGACCACAACCAACTCTTTCATTTCGTCTGTATTTCAATTAATTTTTTATATTTATTGATTAGTCATCGATTTTTCATTTGTTGTTATTGATTTGATTTTCTCAATTTTTCATTATTCGTCTTTACATGATGATTACATGGTGCAATAAATCATATAAATCGGTTTGATTTGTTTGGTGTTCAGTGGTTTCAATTGAGAAAAAAAATCTCAATTTGTAAATCCACAAAGGAAAAAAGAATGAAAGAAAAGGTCATTCATTCATTCATATATCCAAACCACAAATGGCCATATGAAAGGATTGAAAATACGTGTTTTTTGAAAAAAATAAGAAATTGCATTTTGCCTACTCAGAAAAGAACCCTAAGATGGCTATGGCTATGCTTGATTGAATTTCTTCATTGAGTTTCTCTGTGTTATTTGATTTATATCCAGAGAAATGAAAAAAATATCGGTTAACGGTTCACACATAACCCAGGTCTTTCCGGAACTTTGTTCATTTATTTTGTTCAGTGAGAAAAAAGGTTGTTGTTTTTCTTTGCTTGATTGCTTTTCTTGCAATGGTTTTTTTCTCCATCTTCATCTACAAACACACACTTTGACCACTTGATACTTCATTAAAATTACATTAACCCCCAACTACCAACGAACGAACGAAAAAAAAAATATCCTGGCCATTCGATTATGATGTGATATCTTTCATTTTTCTCATTGTCAAATGTGAAAATGAAAGAAAAAAAATTTCACAAACTTAACACCCACACACACACACTTGATAGAAAGATTTTGGTTTTTTTTTTTTGATTAAAAATTATCTTATCTTTCAGCGATAATCTTTGATTTTTTCATAACAGGATTTTTTCTAGTTTTTTTGGTCAATTTTGGCAATCAAATCAAATCAAAGAACTACCAGAACTAACTACAATCTTGACATCAAAATCTTATTATTTTTTTTAACGGAACAACCGTTGTAATTGTAATAAATCATTTTGGGGTTAATGACGCCAGTCATTTTTTCAGCAACAACAAAATTCCACAATTCTTTTTCCAGTTTGGGTAAAGAATTTTTTTATCTAAGAAAAAAAAAATTTCCCAAAGTTTTTTTTCAAAGTGAAAATATTGTGTGAATGTTGCATGACAGCTTTAAAAAAAATACCATGACCTTTTCGCAATGACGACGACCTTGACATTGACATTGACATTGAACTATTTTGTCAGTTATTTTTTTTATATTTCACTGTATTGGTCATTTGTGATTGGTCAGTTAGTCGGTTGGTTGATGGTGGTCAATGTAGAGTGGTCACTTTTTCTATTTCAAAGCGAGAGTGTGTGGAAATTGAATCTTGAATTGTTGATATGGTCGACAATCAAATACAAATAAGTTCGTGCTGTGAGATCGATATTATCGAAACGATCAAGAAGAATATGCAAGACGAAGATAACGATGATTACATTTTTTTTTGGGTAACATTACGAAAACGTCAATGTCGATCATAATCATCATCAATGATGTCCTTGAAAAAGGATGGATGATAGAAAACAAAGAAACTTTCTGAGAAATCTTATAACGTTAAAGTTGGGATTTTTGTTTTTTTTATGGAAACTATTTCCAATTTCCAAATTTGATTTACACAGCAAACCAGTTGATGATGATGATATTGATTGAGTAGGTGTATCCTATTTTTTTCGCAGCGCGAAAAAAAAAATTCGATACGCTTTTAACCCTTTTTTATCTATGTATGCCATACACGTTTTGTACAATCGATTTGATCGAACACTAAAATCAATTGACAAAAATGTGAAACACATAACAACAACGCTTGGCACGCGTCATCATCAAATATTATCCATGGCAAAAGGATTTTGTCGCCTAAAAATAATCTTTTTTGTTTTTCCCCCTTTTCACTTTCCATCCAATTGATAATTGATTTATTTGGTTTCGTTTTTGTTTTCTGTTGGCTGCTATAAACGGAAAAATCTACAAAATTTGGACGAGAAAAAAACATAACAATGACCAGTAGCTTTTACCATTGGCTGCTATTCTAAACTAAAATAAATAAAACATCCATCCAATCAATCAATTTATAAATGTGTGTTTTACGTGTGTGTTTTGTGTGTGAAATATATCAATGGTCAACATGCTTTACTTTTTTTAGCTGTTTGTTTTTTGTTTGTTATCAAAGGGGTTATATATCATTTATTCATATGATGATTTCCTGGATACTCTTTTTTTCAAGGTCATGCATCTACGTAGCTTTTTTGTTTGTTTTTTGAATAAAAATGAAATCCTGATGATGAAAGTGAAAGGCCTATATATTGATATATCGAATAGAATCTATTTTTGACCATTTCATCATCATCATCATCATCATCATAATTTTTAAAATCATAATTGTGTTTGCTTATTTGTGTGTTTGTCAGTATTATGTATGATTTTTATTCAATTTTTTTTGGCTGTTGTTGTTCGGTTCATTCAACTGGACAAAACCAACGTTTGACCTCAAGGTCACCAAATTTTTCTATAACAATAAACGATGTTGATGATGACTGATGACCACTCTCACTCACTATATATGTTCACATTATTCATAATGTTTGGTGCACGCGAGCCAGATGTGTTTGTATAAAAATCAGAAGAAGAAAGATTTTTTCCATTGTCTTGTTCAAATCAATTCAAAACAAAACAAACGAAAAACCGAAAAAAAATATTCAATATTACCGGTTGCATGAAAGAGTTTTTTCGTTTTTTTCTTGTGATTTCATAAGTGAAAAAAACACATGCATAATAATGAATGACGATTATGACTGATGATGATGATGATGATCAAATATTGAATATCATATTTTCGTTGAAGGGAATTGAAGAAAATGGGAGAAAAAAGGGTTAACAACAACAACAACAACACATATGTT